TAGAATTGAAGTGGGATTGGGGAGCAACTTGTCCACAAGAGAAATTTCTTCCCAACTCCCCTCAATTAGTGTCTGACTTGTGTTTGGAGTATGAGGGTTTATATCCCTTCTAAAGACAAAATTGGGAGTAAGACTGCAGACAGGCTAACATCTGACGTGATCACTAACAATAGGCAAACCAAAAACAGCATGTGTCCACTTGATTTATTTGGCATGAGTATGTAAAACGGACAGCAACTATAGAATGATTAGGTTCACATTCAGTTGTATTTTTGTCATTAGAACTATACCTCAACAATTCTTCTAGGCATGACCCTGCCGATGTGCAGGCAGAATGTCTCAAAGGAGAGCAGCATTAGATATTTATGAGCATGTCAGTTTGGCATCAAACTGAAGAGAAGTATTAGATAGGAAAAGCAGCAAGCTAGCAATAAACAAGTAAAGATACCTCCAACTCCTCTCCACGGCAAATGTCTTTTAATGATATTTATACTCCCAATTTTGTGATTCTTTGATACAACTTTTGTTAAGCATGATTTGCAAGCCATGTTAAGCCTCAGCTTATTTTTCTTCTAATGGAAGATGCTGACCCCTAACAAAACCCCTGCAAAATTATTCTTCTTAACTTTCTTCATGCAAGATTCAGATTGCCTTGGGGAAAATCAGATTTTAGACATCCACCTTTGTACCAGTTATTTCAGTTCTGTTTTACTAAATGCAAATTTGGTCAATATTAGAGCATTACATTCTTCTTAGCAGGCTCCACTCCTTTTCAGGAGATGTACCTTTCATGGGGTCCTAGTTTTGCAGCAGCTGAAGCACAGAATTCCCAACCACTTCATTAGGGTGGCTAGAAAACCAGGTACTACATGCTTCACAAAGATAATTTATACAAAACTGAATTTAAAAACTGCTTGGGAGAACACAGAAAAAATTCCACAAATTATTTCAATTCAATGCATGTTACTATAAACAGAAATCTAAATAGATTATAAAATAAATTCTCTGTTAAGGACATTTTCAGATGCTTAGAGGGGAAAAAAGATTGATTGCTGCTGTCCGCCAATTGCTATGAGGGAAGGACCAAAAAGAACGAAGAAATGCACACATGCAGAAATATTACTGATCTGCAGAAAGACCATTTAAGGGTGGTTTTTCCATTTCTCCCATATTATCAGTTTCTCTTTGAGAGAGGAGAAACCATACCTCTTCTACTCAGAATATTTCAAAATCTGAAGAGACATGGTCTAGCAGACTCAACACAGAACTAGGAACTCCTGAATTTACTTCCAGCTCTACTACTGACTCTAAGGGACTGAGTAAGGTCCCTCTTTACGGCAGTTTCACCATACTCCCCTCTCCCCTACCTTCAGTTATTTTAAGCCCTTTGAGACTCTTCAGTGAAGAGTACTACGGAAGTGTAAAGCATTACAACAAAATGGGTAATGATTACTCTGCACTATGTAATTTAATGCATTATAGGTTAGCTTGCGATCCAGCTGGAATTTTTTTTAATGTTATGGAAGCACTCAGACCAAAATAAAATAAAATAAGTTCACCGGAACAAGTGGCTTTCGTATAATTATATTAAAATACAAAGCTTTTTACATTTATAAAACTTGTGCATTAAAAAGTCTTTCCATTATAGTTCTCTCCCCTTTTATGATTTATTTGTTATCAGAGGATTTAAAGTCTTCAGCAGTTTGTAATAGATAATTGCAACAATACATCACAGAGAACATTGAAGTCTATTAAACAAAATTGTTAAGGGGGCACATTACAAATTCTGCAATTTTTATAGACATTTTGCACCAAATGTTGATATCACACTCTAAGTAGTCTTGTGTTAGAATGTGTATTTGCATTATTATGCATTGTTACCTTGTCCTAGTTCACTCATAGATCATTTTCTACTGAGTGTTTATTGCTATCACGTGTATGAAAGGGCAACTGATGCCATCTTTAACATAATAGGGAATTGTGGGCACAGATTAAATCAAACTGCATGGCATTTTTCAGATGTAGTCTGAAAAAACTACAAAAAAATGTAGTATGCTTAATATGACATCTGGACTTAATTCAGTGAACAAAATGTGAGGTTGCAGCATGGAAGAAAAGGAACACAGGTTCAGTCAGTATAAGATGCTACAATTGAATACAAAACCTAAAGCAGACAAGACCTAAGTGTTTCTAAAAAGTTGAGAAATGGTGTTTAGCACCTTCTAGCAGAGGTTGGGTAGTTTTATAGGCAACCGTCAATCCACTTGATCATGGTGAAGTGTAAAGGGTCTAGTCAGGTTTCTGATGAATAAAAAGGTAGCCTAACGCATACATAGGCTACAGTACTTTGTTTAAAAATGGTTAAGATGTTCCTAGTCAAGGTTAGGCACACTGTGTAGTATAGAAGCTGCCTAAAGCTTACTTACTCTGTAGATATCAGACTTTAGTCTTTGCAGATGTCAATCAGGCACCATCCACAATCACTAAATTTTACTTCAAGGAATACAGCAAAAGGCTACTCTTCCCCATATTTTTAAGCCAATGACATAGACCAAATAATCTTAATTTTGAAATAAGGAAGGAAGAGGGCAAACCCATGAACTGATCACCAGTTTATAACTTTCATTAATGACTGCTACCGTCAAAGTGTGTGCACATGCAGTGGATATCAGCAAGCTGCTCACAAATAATTAAGCACCCCAAAATTGGACTTGCATTTTGTGTTTCATTTTTACAATGTTGGCAGGCATAAAACATTGGCACACACTTCTGGAATGTTTTCTCAGCTGTGAAAACTAGACTTGATTTGTGGTTCAATCATTCAGGCTCTGAACATAGAATCATAGGACTGGAAGGAACTTCGAGAGGTCATCTAGTCCAGTCCCCTGCACTCATGGCAGGACTAAGTATTAACTAGACCATCCCTGACAGGTTTTTGTCTAACCTGCTCTTAAAAATCTCTAATGATGGAGATTCCTCAACCTCCCTAGGCAATTTATTCCAGTGCTTAACCACCCTGACAGTTAGGAAGTTTTTCCTAATGTCCAACCTAAACCTCCCTTGCTGCAAGGCATCAACATGTATGCAGCCATATCAGACTTGCTTTTCTTCATTGTGTCTTGTTCCTTCAGATCTTTCTTGCTTCATCTGATGCCTCCTCCTTGCATGAATCAAATAATCTATTGTCGGTTTTCTTTATACTGTAAAAAAATACTTTTAAAAATGCTGAGTCACAGCTTAGATTCCTATATCCATAAATATCATCTGATGGTACCTACCACTGACTAAAAAAATAATCCTATCCCAAACCTACCAGGATGAATGAGGGCACATCTGCACTACGAAATTAGGTCCATTTTACAGAAGTCTATCTTTACCAACCCATTTTATACAGTTGATCGTGCATGTCACCACTAAGCGCATTAGGTTGGCGGAGTGCGTTCTCAATACCGTGGCTAGCATCGACTCACAGAGTGGTGCACCGTGGGTAGCTATCCCACAGTCCCCGCGGCCCACTGGAATCCTGGGTTAAGCTCCCAATACCTGATGGGGCAAAAACATTGCAGGTGGTTTTGGGTACATGTCGTCAGTCTCCCCTCTTCCCTCCCTCCTTGGGAGCAACAGCAAACAATCATTTTGCGCCTTTTTTCCTGGGTTATCCGTGCAGACGCCATAGCACGGCAATCATGGAGGCTCAGCTGTACACTGCTTTTGTGAGCATTACAAACACCTTGTGCATTATCCTGCCGCCAGCACGAGGAAGACTGTGAGGAGGACAAGGACACAGACATTTCTGAAAGCACGGGATGTGGCAATTGAGATATCATGGTGCTATTGGGGCATGTTGCTACAGTGAAATGCCGATTCTGCGCCCGGCAAAGAAGTGCAGACTGGTGGGACCGCATAGTGTTGCAGGTATGGGATGATTCTCAATGTCTGCAAACTTTTGCATGCATAAGGCCACTTTCATGGAACTTTGTGAGTTGCTTTTCCCCGCCCTGAAGCACGGGAATACTAAGTTGAGACCTGCCCTGACAGTTGAGAAGCGAGTGGCAATAGCCCTGTGGAAGCTTGCAACACCTGACTGATACCGGTCAGTCGGGAATCAATTCGGAGTTGGCAAATCTACCGTGGGGGCTGCTGTGACCCAAGGACAATCAATACCCTTATGCTAAGAAGGGTAGTGAGTCTGCGAAATATGCAGGTCACAGTGGATGGCTTTGCTGCAATGGGGTTCCCTAACTGGGGTGGGGCGATAGATGGAACGCATATCCCTATCTTGGCACTGGACCACCTTGCCAAAGAGTACATAAACCACAAGGGGTACTTCTCAATGGTGTTGCAAGCACTGGTGGATCACAAGGGCCGTTTCACCGACATCAATGTGGGATGGTTAGGAAGGGTACATGATGCTCGCATCTTTCAGAACTCTGGGCTGTTCGGAAAGCTGCAAGAAGGGACTTTCTTCCCAGACCGGAAAATTACCAATCGTTATCCTTGGGGACCCAGCCTACCCCTTGCTCCCATGGCTCATGAAGCCATACACAGGCAGCCTGGACAGCAGTAAGGAGCAGTTCAACTATGGCTGAGCAAGTGCAGAATGGTGCCTTTGGGCATTTAAAAGGGCGCTGGCGCAGTTTGTTGAGTAGGTTAGCAAACCTACGAAAGCAATATTCCCATTGTTATTGCTGCTTGCTGTGTGCTCCACAATATCTGTGAGAGTAAGGGGGAAACGTTTATGGTGGGGTGGGATGTTGAGGCAGATTGCCTGGCAGACAATTTTAAACAGCCAGACACCAGAGCAATTGGAAGAGCACACCGAGGTATGCTGTGCATCAGAGAGGCTTTGAAAAACAGTTTCATGACTGACCAGGCTACGGTGTGACAGTTGTGTGTGTTTGTCCTTGACGCAAAACCGTCATCTTTGGTGAATGTACTTCCTTGTAAGCCAATCTCCCTCCCCTCTTCGACCGCAGCTGGCAAAGGAAATAAAGTCCCTATTGTTCTGAATCCATTCATTCTTTATTTAAAAAAAACCTGAGATCACTGGCAATGCTGACTAGTAAAAGGAAGCCCAGGTGTACGAAAGGTTTGATAACAGAGTGGGGGAGGAGAGGAAAGGACAAGACCACATTGCTTATTGTAGCCACACGACAAATCAAAGGTGTTTGAATGACAATCTTCTGTTGCTTCGGCCATCCCCTGGAGTTGAGTGACAGGGTGCCCGGAGCCTCCCCCCACTCGCGTTCTTGGGCATCTGGGTGAGGAGGATATGGAACTTGGCGAGGAGGGCATGTGGTTCAACAATGGCTGCAGTGGGGGTCTGTAGTCTAGTTGCCTTTCCTGCAGCTCCACCAGACACCTCATCATGTCCGTTTGATCCCCCATTAGCCTCAGCATCTCCTCCTGCATATTACGATCACGGTCACTGTATGTTTTTCTGGCCTCTGCCACTGAATGCCTCCATGCATTCAGCTGTGCCCTATCAGTGCGGGAGGATTGCATGAGCTCTGAAAACATGTCATTGCGAGTGCATTTTTTTTGCCTTCTAATCTGCGATAACCTCAGGGACGGAGTTGATGCAGGGAGCACAGAAACATTTGTAGCTGCAGGGGAAAAAAGGGAGAGTTCACTTTACAGAAGATACATTTCTGAGAACAAAAGGGACACTTTCACAGTTAATCAAGCAATTCATAGCAGACAGCACACGTGTTTTAGGTACAAGGTCGCATTTTGCCTTTAATATTGAGCGCCTGCCGGTATGGTGACACATCACACATGGCTGGGCAACAGAATTCAGTGTGCACGCAGCCATTGTAAGCAAAAGGGTACGTGGGGTTAGCTTCTTCCGGTTCATAACGTGTGGGAATGGTTTCAAACTGCAGCGCCCTCCTTTCCCATAGCAACCAAAGCTGGTTGTGTTTGCCATTTAAAAGGAGGGGCTGCGTTTAAAAGGAGGGGCTGCAGTTGCCATTTAAAAGGAGGGATTGCGGTTTTGGGGTGCAGCACACCCCCGCCCCCCAGCATGGCTATTCTCTGGGATGATCCCTTTTAGCCAAGCGCAAACAGCTCAGCATGCCCAGGGTCTAATGTGTCGGGGATCACCAAACAGAGAGGATTACTGTTCCCTTACAAAACTTGCCCTATTTCAACCAGGTGACCATGAATGATATCACTCTCCTGAGACTGACACAGAAAGATAAAGACCGAATGTTGCATGAATGTGACCAAAACCCAGGACCATTCATTGTCATGCTTTGGGCTGCAATGATTCCAGACCACTTGCTACTGGCTAGGCGTGGTAAAGTGTCCTACCGTGGAGGACGAAATAAGGCAGCCCTCCCCAGAAACCTTCTGCAAAGGCTTTCGGAGTACCTCCAGGAGAGCTTCATGGAGATGTCCCTGGAGGATTCCCGCTCCATCCCCAAATACAAACAGACTTTTCCATTAGCTGTACTGGCCCTGAATGCATCCCAATTGTTCAGGGCAAATCAAACATTAAACACAATTGCTTTTAACCCCTGAAGTGTCGTTACAAATGTGAACTCACCAGAGGTGCCTTCTCTGCCATCAGGGTCTGGGAACAATAGGCCTTGGGAGGGTATTGGCTCAGGGTGAGGAAAAGGTCCTGGCTGCTGTGGAGAACGGATTCTCCGCTTGCCTGCTGCGCATTCTCCTCCTCCTCTTCCTCATCCATAAAATCCTCATCCGTGTTGCGTGAGACTGCCACCTTGCAGGTGTCCACAGAGAATGTTGGGGAACTGGTAGGGTTCCCCCCTAGAATGGCATGCAGCTGATCATAGAAGTGACATGTCTGGGGCTCTGACCAGGAGCAACTGTTTGCCGCCTTCATCTTTTGGTAGGCTTGCCTGAGTGCCTTAATTTTCACGCGGCACTGCTGTGCATCCCTGGTGTAGCCTCTCTCCACCAGACCCTGTGCGATTTTGGCATATATATTAGCATTTCTTCTGCTGGATCTGAGTTCTGCCTGCACAGATTCTTCTCCCATACAGCAATCGGATCCAGGGTCTCCCATTCACTCCATACTGGAGCTAGTTTGTGATTCTGCTGAACTCGCCATGCTGACCAAACAGGAAATGAAATTCAGAAGTTCCCAGTGCTTTTCCTGTGTACCTGGCTAGTGCATCAGAGTTGAAACTCACATTGGAGCACTCTGGGATAGCTCCCAGAGGCCAATACCATCGAATTGCACAACGCTGCGTCTACACTACCCCAAATTCGACCCAGGAAGGTCGATTTTAGCACTACTCCCCTCGTCAGGTAGGAGTACAGCAGTCGATTTTAAGGGCCCTTTAGGTCGGCAGAACAGGGTTGGTTGTGCAGAGCATTCATTATAAAATTGACTAACGCGGCTAAATTTGACCTAATCTCGTAGTGTAGACCAGGCCTGAGTGACCAACATGAATAATATGGGAAATAAAGAATGTTAAAAACATATACACACAAAGCAAATGAAATCCAGAGTTAGTATACCACAGTTAAGACACCAGAAGTCAATCTGATATATACAAAAGATCAGTATGCAAGTATTCACTCTATTTAATTTGTTTGCATTGGGAGATTCCTTTTAGATAAAATATGGAAAGTTTAATTTTTCCATTTCAAAGTTGTGGGTGATGGATCCAATAACAAAATGCTTTAGAATATACATGATGGTGTTCTGCAGCAAATTGTAAAACACAAGCCAGGACTTCTTCCTCTTAGCATTTCAAATGAATTAATAATTATTAAAATTTAGTAAAACCTATTTCATACCCCACAGTGAAGTAATTCAATTTTGTTTCTCTGTATTTTTACTTGGTATTCACTCATCCCTCTTATTTAATCAAGGTGCAACAGGGAGTGTTAGAGGTAAAATCTGAGGTTAAAACTTTAACAGCCTGAAGTAACTTCCAGCAGAATTTCAACTATCTCCCATGCCGATGCCTCTTCCCAAAATATTTGGTTTCATGTGAGTTGCCATTTTAGCACTGGGCTCAAATACAATGGAGTAGGGCATGGAGTCTAATTTCAGAACCTCTCTCTTTTTATTCCTGGACCAGCGTTCAGAAATCACACCAGTATCAGAAAATGGAAAATGTGTTCAGCAATGTCTCTTTTGAGGCTATTAATTAAAGAATCATTTTGGAGCTACTGCTACTACACTTACAACTCACTATCCTTTGCCTATTAAAAAGGCTGTTGCTCTAAATATTCATAAATATAAGACATATCTGACTATGATCAAACTAAACACATTTTAGAAGAACATGTACAAAACTGTAGAATGATGACAGTAGGTGAGAAAGCTTGTAGATATAGAAAAATAATTTAAAATGATTTCTTACCTGAATTCTAATGTTACCTGTTGAATTTCTCCCTCAGATAACCCTTTTTTAAAAATAAGAAAACTATTAAATTTACATTTAGGGGATTAAACTATTTAAGTTTGCTGAAGAGAAATTATAATTGTAATGTGGTATTTAGTGAACAATTTAAAAAAAATCTTTTAATCCGATGGCCAATTAATTTAAACACTTTACTTCTCTCTGTCTCAAATGTCTACTAAATTGTTCTTTACCTCATTTTATGTCTCTTTTGGATGCTTCCCCCAAGTTAACATTAGCTGTACTGCAAGTTGGCATAAGGCATTTAATAACTAAAAGTAGATAAACTGTATATTTCCCAAATATTTCTTCAGAACAAAACATTGGCTCATATTAAAAAAAAATCACATTGTATCATAACTATTTTAATTTTGACTCTAGACTCTCTCTCTTTTTTGCTTTATGGTGCTTGGAAAATGCTAGGCTATTACACAAAGCACATTTTTCTTACAGGAAGTGATCTACATGTAAAGTAATTTACTATTTTCAATCAACAGAAAATACTGATATGACTGCATTAAGCCAATATCTGTAGAACAAGACATTAAGTCATTTCCTGATAACTAATATCTAAATTGCCGTTTGTTATAGTACAAAAGTGCACTTAGAAGAAAGCGTTACTTGAAACAAAACTATACACATATACACAGTGACTAAATTGGCTTTGCTGCCCTTTTAATCTTGGATGTTGCATAGTTCCTTCCCTACCATGCCTCTCACTCTCCATTACAATTATGCCCTTTCGCTAGCAACTCCTCAACATTCCAGTACAGTCCTATTAATCTGTGAGGAAACATTCCTTTAAAGTTTTCTGTTTTTATTAGAAATCTTACAGCACACCCAGAAAGCTGTCTGAGGTAAGACAAGGCTCAGCTAACTAATCAAGCAGTAAATGCTTCTTACCCAAGAAACACCCAGCAAGGAAACACAAAACTTGACAAACCTTCCCTCTTATAAACAAAATCGGATTTCATTAAAAGAGGTTTCCTGGGGGGGGGAGAGAAGAGAGACAGGCCTAGCAAACTGGAAAGGCAAAATTAATTGTTACAAGAACAGATTGATTCTAAATTAGTTATTTGTGATTAACAGATGTCTTCGGTTAGGTTTTTTGCACTGACTAAATCAGTGAAATTTCAACTGTGCTTAGACATCAAACATGCTGGAACCTGGCAATGTGTAGATGTTGCAAGAAACACTCATCACACCCAACCACAGGTAAGTGTCACAGTGGGGGGGGGGGAGGGGGGATAACTAAGAAAAAGAGGAGAGATCAAAAAGTTGGAAAGAAAATTCTCCAGCCTAAGGGAAAAAAAAAAAAAAAACATCTGAAACAAAGCAAGCCAGACTTTGGATTCCATAGACGATTCACCGCATCTCCATCTCCGTGCTAAAACTCTCTCACTGAACTATTCTAACCACAAAACAAGCTATAATCTAAAAATCAAGCCACAACTTGCTTTAATGTTGTACCAAAACCGTCATGACTAAGAAATAAAGCCACTGTTGCTGAACTGGCTAAGACTGCCTCTTTTGTACTATGCATAAATGTAGGTCGATCATTATCAATCAATGGAGTTTCGTTCCCCCCACCACTACCCCCAGGACTTATGGACTTATTCTGAACTTTATTTTATATAGCAACAAATAATGCATTCTGAAAGACAGATTCATCCTCGATCAGTAATACTTTTTTTGGTGCAAAAATATAATCAGACTAAAATCAACGACAGTTAGCACAGTGCAATGTTATCTTCCACCAGTCAGCATCTGACTTGGCAGATTGTAGAGCTGCAAAGCATTGATGTTCTGTAGAGATAAGCACCATGCAGGTACAGCTATATGTTTAGAGAAAGAACATAAGTAACTTTAAAAGGCTACAAAAATGTCTTTAAAAGCGAAAAGTATGCCATTGCAAAACAAACTATCAAGAAAATGTACAGAAAAACCATCTTTGGCAGATGAGGAGTTGATTCACTGACAGCAACATACTAAAGATTACTACAGTATCACTTTTTCAGTAAATCGCATGCCTACAAGAGGCCCAAGCTATTTCAACTGCATTGCCAGTAATTTCCCACTTCTATTAACTTATAAACTGATTATCTAAAAGTTGTGTGATTCTTTCATATCCTCTCAAGAAAATCTTCTGTAAGCATGGTCTTTCCACATAGTCTATTCTAAAGTAAGTTTTACACGCTGCTTTGAGAAATTTAATGATTGCCTTTCAACAGATCTCTCAATATAGTGTATCAATATTTTGCACAGAAATTAACACGAATGGCCTAGAACAGCTACCTGGCAAGGGAAGGTGTTCACCTATAACACATAGGTATTAGCCCATTTAATTGGAGACATTTCTTTCCATAGTTCTCTAGGTGGTAAGCCGCTAATAACCCTTACAAATAGTTTCCGTCAGGCTGCTAAGGCAGAAAAAAATTTATCTTAAATATAACTCCACTCAGCAACCTTTCTAACACACTCTTTATATTTACGAAATCAAAGGCTAAAAAAAGAATGAATACATTATTTTATTTTAATTCTTTCTAAAGAATGAACCACATACTTAAGGCTAGAGAATCACAAATACATTAGAAGTACTAACTGACAAGTTTCTATTAGGGTGATGTGAAGAAAGGAACTTTAAGATATCCAAGCTCGTTTTCTGGAATTTATATGTCAGTTAAAATTTCTAAGATCTGTGTAGAAATCTTTGAGACATATTTGATGTCAATTAGAAGAGCATTTATTGGTAGAAAGTGCAAAAATAATACAACAAGATAAAGGTAGTCTATTGGGCACACATACATAAAAATGTTAAATCAAACAGCAACAACTGTTTACTGGCCACATACTTAAGGAACAGAGGTGTAGCTACAAAGAAGAGCAACGGAAAGGGGGGGGGGGGACTTTTTCCTGAAACATTCATATATTTTTTAAAAAGAAATGGACAGAGCCCTCTCCCACAAAAAAGTCCACCAAACAGGAAAATTATAAATATAATAGCTTTGAGAAACACCAGAAAACCTTGTTAGTAAAAAGAATTTCTGTAGTAGTGCAGAAATAATACTTCTGCTTACAGAACATGTTTCATTATCTTGAAGTGTTTTACATAGGCAAATATTTTTTTTTCCTTTTACAAAGGAGGAAAGTTAGACACAGAGCACTTATGTGACTTTTCCAAGGTGACATCCAGTCAGTAGCAGAAGCAGGAACAGAATCCAGGTTTCCTGACTCCTATGTGTTTCCACTACAAAAGAGCAGGTCTATGGGAAAAATGCTAAAAATTCAAAGAAACCGTAAATTAGAGAGCATATTAAGTGCTTATCTACACAAGAAAGTTGAACCAGTTTAACTTAAGGTGTGATTTTAAAGCAATTTAGTTAAACTACTTCAAAAGGCTTTATGTACACTTATTTTGGTTTATCTTAAATCAATTAAAAATCAATTTAATAAACTGAAATAAAGTCTTATTCTGAAACAAGTGTTTATACAGGGATTTGCACTGTTTTAAAAAACAATTTACGTTAAACGAGTGCACCTTTCTCATGTAGACAAGGCCTAGGTCATCTCAATCATCCTCTGTTAATGCAGAATAGTTTCATATAATACATTTTCTAGTGCTCTGTCTAGCCCTAGCTTCACATGTCCTAGGATATGAGGTTTCCACCCTCTCGCTTGGGAGATTATGCCTATAATTCTCATTGTCAGGAATTTTTCCTAATATTCATCCTAATTTTCCTGTCTGAGGCTCTGATCCTGAAAAGCATTAACTTTAAGTACCAATTTAAATGGCATTACTGATGTG